TTTCCAGTAATATTCACCAGCTTCACTGCAGATACTGTCGACTTCGTCTGCTGTGCTGTGGATGAAGGACTGTACAGGTTGCCGTCCACAGAGGCTTTTATTAAGTAGGTACTGTTTCCACTCATCGTCACTGTTAATCTTTTAGGTTAGAAGATGACGATGTTGAAAATTGCCATGTTTGTTTTGGTCTGCTGTGTCCTTACAGGGCCTGTCAGCATATTGTGAGATCTGCTGCAGAAACAGAGGAAGAGTATGACCTGAAGAACCTCGAGCTTCATCCTGAAACAGAGAGACCAGCAGCTGTTCAGTTCAGGGCTGATGATGAACTAAATAAGAGGCCAGTGTGATTCGACTCCTCTGTACACCAGCACAGACAGATCATTTACTGTTACAAAAAAGTCAGAAAAGCAATAAGTAGAAAAAAATGAAAGAAAAGACTGGCAAAATGAGTAATACTTGAGTAACAGTTGTAATCTTTTACAAAATTATATTTAATGCTTAAATTGGGTTTGATTTAACTCTCTTTATTTGTATTTGCAATAAATTCTGGAGACATTTTCCTTGTCGATTTTATTATTTTACTTGAAACGTTTAGCACAAACTTAACTCCATACTGCACTTCCACACAAGGTTGGGCAAAATACCTTGAAAAGGTAGTGATGGCTAAATACTGAATACACTGTCCTAGATGTATTCACTAAAGCATCCCATTACAATACATCAAGTAACATATTCAGAATAGATTTAGAATACATTTACATTACTTCTTGGTAAAGCTTGGTAAATTCTGTTAATACATTTCATCAAAAAATCATTATCATTTAAAAAAAATATTTTTTTTTTGCTCTCTTACCACCTTCTTCAGTTCACTGATGCTCCCACAGTCCCCTGAGCAGAAGTCCAGTACAATGCAGATAATAAACTTCATCATGAAGAGACTCCACTACCACAGTCTGAGCTGGATTTCTCTATGGCCAGAATGAATGGGGTTTTTGAAAAATGCACATCTCATGCACCCCATGGTAAATAAAAATGTTCAGAATCCTGTACGTTTTGTCCTGTGTACATTTTTCCCCTGAACATCACTGAATCCTCTGAATTACAGGGTCTTAATACTAATATTTCTACATGTGAGCTAATGCTACTGCGCATCAATTTGATGTCACAAAAGCTACACGAAAGTAAGGTAGCCTATGGTGGTGCTCTGACGAGTTGTGCTACCTTATCAAAATGTTCTTCCATAGCGCATGTTTATAGGTATGTTTGTAAATGAAACCTGTAGGTAGGATATTTTGATAGCCTAAATACTACCAGCATTAAACTACAAGGCTGAATTTAGCTTTTTGTTCAAATTTTTCCATTACACCTTAACTGGTGCAGCTGTTACAATAATGCCTCAGGTGCCAGAATGTAACTGCTGCCCCATTTAAGGTGGAACAGGAAAATTTAAACAAGAAGCTGGCGAATGTCCTGAGAAAATGTTGCCAGCTTTAAAATAATAATTTCATAGCCTAAATCAGCTTATTAGGGGGTCAGCAGTAATAGTAAGCTATTAAGAGTCTGTACTGAATAAGCCTGAGTGCAGGTAAGTTTGTAGAGCTTTTCAGATCAAGCAACGAACAGAAGAGAAAAATCTATCATGTTTCAGTGGGCATCAGATAAAGAACAGAATACTGCAGGGAAAAACCTGCTTCTTTTGTTCTGACTGCTTTTCATCTGCCCTCAGTTTGTATGCAGAAATATGTTACCACACTGGCAAAGCATGGTGGTCTGCATGGTTTTTAAGGAGGCTGCCAGTCTAAAGACGTCGATTCAGTGCACAGTAGCATTAGCTTGCATGTAGCAATGTTCGTATTTTGACTCTTTAATGACCGCATAATTCAGAGGATTTAGTGATATTCGAGAGAAGAATATTCATAGGACAAAACATATTAGCTTTGAAATGTTTTTCAGTATCACATAATGCGAAAGAGGCAATTTTCAAAATCTCCATTCATTCTTCTCATTGAGAAATTGCTTTTAACTCAGAGTTCCATATATAGGCATAAGAGCACCGGCTACATAATGACAACCACCACTGTTTAGATCATGTTTGTGTGGTGGTCCATTCTCAGCACAGTAGTGACACTGACATGGTAGTATGTGGTGCTGGTACAAGTGTTGCTGAAGTTTTTACACGTCAGCGTCGCTGCTAGATTTGGAGTGGACCACCACTCACACTCATATCCAGACAAGAGTGGCTCTTTGGTCAGAAACTGACCATTCATATAGGGCTGGAGTATGGCTAACACAAACTGTACATCAATAAATGAACTACATCATACCAGCACAGTGGAGCTACAAGAGGGGTTTCTGATAAAGTGGCCAGGTAGAGTAGATACAGGCTAGATGGTCACTGTCTGTGTCTTGCAGTGCTACATTTTCTGTTGTACTAGTCTAGCATGCAGAGTTAATCTGAAAAACACCTTTATTACCTTTTACCTGCGCAGCTGTCTCTTCTGTGATGTTCTTCAGGGAGAGATGTTCTTTAGTGAGAGATGTTCTTCAGTGAGTGATGTTTTTCAGTGTGAGTGTGTTGGTGTGAGAGTGTTTAAAGTGGTGTGATGCTTTTAACCAGTTAAATCGTTTGTCAGCAGTCATCATATCCGTCAGCAGATCTGGAGGGTGAAACTTCTAGATGGTGAAAATTTTCACACCCAGCATGAGCTCAAGGCCGAGCGTTGTGGTCAGTAAATATTCACTTTGAGTGTCTAACAGTTTGAAAAAGTCCATAAAGGCTTAATGACGGTCAGTGATGAAACTTGCATGAGGACAATTTGTTATGTACAGACTAGCAACTGTCTGCAGTGTTGACTGTGTTCAATATAAACTCTGTTACAAAAAAGGTTTCAATAAAAAATACGGTTTAAAAAAAGTCTTTAAAATTATTTCACACTTTTAATTTCCAGTCAAAAAGGCTAATAAATGTGACATCATTAAAGCTTAAATTCTTTTCAAGAGACTTGCTTTCACTTTTTCAAAGAAATATATTATATTTATATTATAAATTTTCTTCCAGAGTTCAGTCTTGCAAGTTGGTTTTCCCAACAAATTTAGTGATGTTGAGGTCTGGGTTCTGGGGAGGTCAGTCCAATGTTCTGAAGTCACTAGCTGCTTCTTCTTGTGTGCTCATCAGTGTGCTTGGGTCGTTATCTTGCTGTATAATGAATTTCTTTCCAATCAAACATTTTCCATAGGGTACTACCTGATGTATTAAGGCTTGTTTGTGCTCATCAGTTCATTCATGATGCCTTCAGTCAGAAAACACTTTGTTGTTATACCTCAAACTTGCGCTGATCCTCCACCATGATTGACTAATGGTTGTAGACAAAAATCAAAGAGACTCATTTAGCTCTAGTCAAATTCAGCACTGCAATGAAAATAAATATTATGAAAATTATTCTACTTTCTAAACTTTGGTACATCCTTTGCCAGCTGCCCAGCTGTTGTGTGTGTGAATGAAGTGCGTATCCTTTACTAACTGTCGTTAAGGCCTGTGTGATCCTTGTTGGTTTTGTACTTAGTTGGTTTCACTCTCACAGGCGTGGTTCAGTTTGTGGTTATAGTGAGCACTTAGCCATTAGCATTTTGGTTAGCATTAGCACTGTTAAACGATGATGTTAGAGTGATATGTGGCTCAGGTTAGTGAACATGTTGCACACTGTTCATTTTACAGCTTCAGACTCTCTCACACACGCACATGGCTTCATATTGATGCTGCAGCCTTTATGATTAGAAATGAAGAAAGTCCTCTGACTCCCTGACACTCTTAAAAATGATGGTTCTTCAAGGGTTCCTTAGTAAAGAAAATGGTTTTATATATATATATATATATATATATATATATATATATAAAATATATATATATATATCGCTCTTATCGGAACAAAGGCTCGCATCTCCAAAATGGTAACTTTACAGGAGAAGGAAAAAAATCTCAATTTACTTTAAATTTTTTGGCCCATTTCTTTTGGTCCAGTTGTCATTAAATTTGTCTGCATACTCTCACTAAACATATATTTTATTATTAAGCAACTGTTACTGGAATTATAACAGCCATAAAGAATAAAATGACAATTAACAAAGTTATGACTACTAATACTATTACTATGCCTAATAATAATAATAATAATAATAAGAAGAAGAAGAAGAAGAAGAAGAAGAAGAAGAAATATATTTTTCCTAAGTATTAATTTATTTTATATTTTCTAAATTATTGGAATTGAAAAAATAACAAATTTGTTATGTTAATTTATTATATAAAGATAAAATAAATATTAAAAAATTAAATGACTATCTAATAGTAGTTTCATGAAAGGTTATTTACCTTAATATTTGATATATTTTTCCTTTCGATTGACCTCATAGTAAATTACTGGTGCCAGTCTTTAGTTAATTTATTGTTATTTATTTACTTATTTATTTACTGTGGAGAAGGGGATGTGGCCAAGCATCACATGCAGGAAGGAGAGCTGGTCGGGCTGAACCAGCGGGCTGAACCAGCCTGTGCCTTGTTTCTGCCAGCCTACTTATAGCCATCTCTTTTCTCAGTAGGTGGCAGAGCCCAGAAAGAAGGAGAGCAGAGCAGAGCAGAGCAGAGCTAAGAAAGCAAAGCAAAGAAAAGAAAAGACTGAAAAGTCCCAGCGTGTTGTTTTATTTTGTCCATGGACTGAAAAGCTGAGTGTTTTTTGTGTTGTGTATAAATAAACGTAGCTCTCGGTCTCCATACCTGCTCCCGGTGTCCTCATTCATCCCACCCTTCAAAGTCGTTACATTTAATTATTTATTTAGTTTATTATAGTGTATTATTTCTACGATGTGCTTTAAAAACAAAAAAGTTTCTACATTTTCCAGATAATTTCCTAAAAGGAAATATCAGGATTGGCAGTACTGAAACTTCAGCAGTGATCCACCCATCACGGTCACCAAACAGCTGAGCAATAAGACACACAGCACTCTAGTTTATGCTCACTGATTACAACTTTTTATTGAGAACAGAAAGAAGAGACTTTTTTGCTTGATATGTATGAAATATAAATGAGAGAATTAAACAACAACAATTAAACAGGTTTCTCACTCACTTAAATCTAAAATCCTCAGGATGCTGAGGCCTCAGGAGTGATATTCATCTCTTACAGGGTTCAGTGAGTCTCTGTACATCACTTTTATTTCTAATGGCTTCATAGTGAACAGGCACACATCTTCCATTATCAAGATCACAGGCCACAGCCACAGGCTCGTTATTCAGTGTTTCCACTGTAATGTCTTTACACCCTTTGTCTCTGCCTCTAACTGTAGTCACAGTGAACTTAGCTCTGCTGACACACAGATTCTCTTTCCAGTAATATCCACCAGCTTCACTGCAGATACTGTCGACTTCATCTGCTGTGCTGTGGATGAAGGATTGTACAGGTTGCCGTCCACAGAGCCTTTTATTAAGTAGGTACTGTTTCCACCCATTGACATTGTTAATGTTTTGGGTTAGAAGATGACGATGTTGAAAATTGCCATATTTATTTTGGTCTGCTCTGTTTGTACAGGGCTTTTGTTGAGATCTGCTGCAGAAACAGAGGAAGAGTATGACCTGAAGAACCACAATCTTCATCCTGAAAAAGAGAGACAAGCAGTTGTTCAGTTCAGGGCTGATGATGAACTAAATAAGAGGCCAGCATGAGCCGACTCCTCTGTACACCAGCACAGACAGATCATTTACTGACCTCAAATTTTCTGCATAGTGTTCAGATATGGTTTAAATATGCATATAACAGCTGAATCACAAGATAGTTAACTTGTTATGTCAAGATAGCAACTTTGTTATTTTGAGATCACAAGATAATTAACTCGCTATTGCAAGAGAAAAACCTTGTTACCTTGAGGTCACAAGATAGTTAATTCGCTATGTTAAGATAACAATGTTGCCATTCTTGAATCACAAGATAGTTAACTCGTTATCTCCAGATAACAATTCAGCAAATTATAACTACTTCATGGTCTCTCTGGATTTCCAAAACAGAGACCACCATTTTGTCATTAAGCACAAAGTACTTTTTTTTTATTTAGAAAAAAACAAAAAATATATATATATAATAAACAATTACGCAGAAGCCTAAGTATGATATTATTTCTATCAGTATTTAATTTTTCCACTCTTTGCTTCTGTGCCACTTTAACTCCTCCAATCTTAAAACCAACCAGTTCCAGCTGTGTCCCCTCAACAAGCTGCCCCCAAAGGGGTCAATGACATTCCGCTTCCCTTAAATGTTATAATATTATTAATATTATAATATTATAACTTTTTTCTGAAGTTTAAGTAATTGCATCTAGTATATCTGCAGATTTAATAATACAATTTCTTTAGATAAAATTACTGTTACTAACGTCCCCTAGTTGCTGAGGTGCGAGTTTGAGTCAAGTGTGAGTACGTGAGGTGTGAGACCGAGTCGAGTCTCGAGTCTCTGAGGTGCGAGTTTGAGTCAAGTCTCAGTCTGAAACAGACACTAACATTCACTCAAACATCTACCCAAATTCCCCTCAGCTGCCTCGCATATTGCTCTTTCAAAAACATCTAAAATGGCATAAGAGGATGTTTCTGTATTATATTGATATGTCTAAATTAGTAATTGAAATTAATTGGATAGTGAGAAGCAGAAAATGCTGAACCTACTTCTAAGACTGAACTTTGGAGGTGTGTCTGCAGATTTCTTTGAGAAACTGAAAGTGAGTCTCCTGAAAAGAATGGAAGCTGTAATAAAGGCAAAGAGTGACACAGTAAATACTGAAACATCCAATATTAGATTTAGTTGTTGAGGCTTCTGTGAAGCTGCCTGTTAAATATACAGGACCTAGCAAAAGTTTTAGGCACTCAAGGAAATTAGAATGAAAAAGCTATTTATCGATCAGTGTTTGTTGGCTCAGAAAAACACAATTATTAGTACAAATAGTCATATGCAAAAGTTTGAACACACCAGTATGATACCTCTCTAAGAATATGAAGAAGAACCACTGAGAGGAAACAAGACTCTAAAGGAGAAACACTCTAAGAGCGTGAAGAACCACTGAGAGGAACCAAGACTCAGAGAGAAACTCCCTATGAGCATGAGGAAGAACAGCTAAGAGGGACCAAGACTCAAAAGGGGTAAAAACTGAGAGAGCAGTTATATGGAGACATTAATGAAATTATTATTAGCAGGATTAAAAACCAAGATTCTCACCTCATAGATGCAGTCGTGGACGCTCAGAGGTGAAATATTCAGGTGATGACTTTTCACAATAACGTCCATTAAAAACAAATCTTACCTGAGCAGATGATGTGCTGTAAGATCACTTTATAAGTGAGCAGCAGGCAGTTTGGTGCGCTGAAGGACAGATGAAGTTCTCCCAGAATGAAGCAGAGTAAGGAACGATACAGCAGACAGTGTCATTTATACAGTTTACAACAGAGCAGGAGGAAATCCATATCTGATAATGACACCTGATTATAACCTAGTAAAATGACTTAACGGTAACAAGTATGACAATATTATGGTAGGGAAAGTTCACCACAGTCTGATCTGAGGAGGAAAATGAATAATAATAATAATAATAATAATAATAATAATAATAATAACTTTATTTACAGAGCACTGTTCATACAAGTGGCTTCACAGACAGTGCTGTCTGTGCAAATCTTTAAAAAGGGGGGTGATATGATCTCTCTGTGTTGGTGCTGTGAGGATCCGTGTTGCTGCGTTCTGTACGAGTTGTAGAGGATGGATTGTTTTCTCCAGTAAGAAGATCATTACAGTGATCAACTCTGCTGGAACAAACGCATCAACAAGTTTCTCTGTGTTGCTCTGAGATAGAAAAGGCCGAACCTTAGTGATGTTTTTCAAATGATAAAAAGCTACTTTAGTAACTGTGTTTGCATGCGGGATTTGTACATGACCTTCACACTGCAAAAAATCGCATCATGGAAAGTGAAATCATCTTAAATCTGCCCATGTATCTGATAATCCTTTTCATGAGATTCTTGTAAGAATGTTATAAGATTATTTCTGAAGGATTGTAACTTGTTTTAAGTAATTGTATCTACTACCATTTCTGTAGATAAAATTACTGTGAGTCTGAGTCACGTCATGGGTCTCTAAGGTGAGAGTTTGAGTCAAGTTGAGTATCTGAGGTGTGAGGCCGAATCGAGTCTTCAGTCTCTGGGGTGCGAATCCAAGTTGAGTATTGAGTCTCTGGGGTGTGAGTCGGAGTTGAGTTTCAAGTCTCTGGGGTGCGAGTTCAAGTCGATTATTGAGTCTCTGGGGTGCGAGTTCAAGTCGATTATTGAGTCTCTGGGGTGCGAGTCCAAGTCAAATATTGAGTTTCTGAGGTGCAAGTCCAAGACGAGTATGGAGTCTCTGGAGTACGAGTCTGAGTCAAGTATCAAGTCTCTGAGATGCGAGTCCAAGTTGAGTATCGAGTCTCTGGGGTGCAAGTCCGGGTTGAGTATCAAGTCATAGAGGTGGGAGTCCAAGTCGAGTATCGAGTCTCTGGGATGCGAGTCTGTGTTAGTATGGAGCCTCTGGAGTGCAAGTATGGAGTCTCTTTGGTGTGAGTCCAAGTCGAGTATTACGTCTCTGAGGTGCGAATCCAAGCTGAGTATTGATTCTCTGGGGTGTGAGTCCGAATTGAGTCTTGAGTCTCTGAGGTGTGAGTGCGAGTTGAGTATGGAGTCTCTGGGGTGCGAGTCTGAGTTGAGTATGGAGTGTCTGAGGTGCAAGTCTGAGTCAAATATCGAGTCTCTGAGGTGCAAGTCTGAGTTAAGGATGGAGTCTCTTGGGTTCGAGTCCAAGTTGAGTATCGAGTCTCTGAGGTGTGAATCCAAGTCAAGTATCGATTCTCTGGGGTGTGAGTCCGAGTTGAGTATTGAGTCTCTGGGCTGTGAGTCGAATATCAAGTCTCTGGGTCCTTTCATTCCAAGTTCAAAATCCTCATTCAGTATGTAGCACTGTTGCTTTTATGCAAGTGTCCCTTGCAGGTAGTTTATGGCTGTGTTATGGTCTTATGGTCCTTTTACTTTGGTGATTTGGTTAACTGTTCTCTCAGTTACTGATTTACCAAAACTGGCATTGTTCTTCATGCGTGTGGAGATATCACACACATCAGGAAAGGCATGTTTTACATAACAGTCCAGTATATGATATTTCAGTGAAGGGGATGAGGAGCTGAGCCATTACTTTTAGAACCATGTGATTTGATTAAGTCAAGTTAATGTGGAACTAGACCTGCTACTGTTCAGCATGTGGGTAACAGGTCACTGTCCTGCACAGGAATACGAATCCACTGCCCTGTAAAAACTACTTTGTAAAGTTTTACTCAGTAAAATTATACAAACTCATCATCTTAAATGAACCACATTCACTTGAGAGTTTTGCTTGTGTAATTATTAGCAGTAAGTGGAAGTAATCAGTTAGTACATTTACAGTAATAATGAACAACTAGCAGCAACCACTAATAGTGTAGTAATACTAACTCAAGCTTATTTAATTACGTTAATTGAAATGCTTTACAACAAATACTTAGCCAATAACAGGGCTATGCATGTATTAGTGTCAGTGGAAATATTTCTAAATGGCTTATTTCATTCTGTGTTAAACAGATGGCTCAAATATAAGAAGGTTTCTAAAGATTTCATGCATCTGTGTCAGCCCACAGGAACTGCTTAAAGACCTGCAGTCTAAACAGGAACATGAAAACGCCATCAGGGTTAAAACAAAACATGCAAAATGCATCTCATCTTTAGCATAAAGATTACGTTATACATTATTTCTGTACCTGAACATCGTGGTCAGCCAATTTAGACAGAAGGTTTGACAGCCTGCCACGTGCAAGTTCTGTTGCTTATTTTTATTTAAAAAAAAAACAAAAACAAACAAAAAACAATTCAATTTAACTGATAAGTACTGTGCAAAACTCTTGTGTATAAGGTACCTAAGCACATTGTTTAGAACCATTTATCTTGGCAATAAGTGCGTTTTGTGAGTTCAGACCATGCCTTCATCATGTGGTGGAAGTATGAGGGACTGTTTGAGGGAGGGCGGAGAATTCTGAGAACTTGGGCTGGAGTTCTGGGCAGCTTCTGTCTGTAGCTAGAAGGCCAGATCCCCCCTCATAGCTGTAGTAGGACTGAGGCAGGACTGAAGAGCAGGAAGGAGATGGGATGGTGTTGGGGATTTCGAACGCTTCGTCACAGGAACAGAAGGTGAGCCATGCTCCTCCCCCCAAACCTCAGTTATGACCTAACTAAATTTATTTGTTTTTTGACCTTGTTTTTTTTTAGCTCTTTCCCTTTTTGGCTTTGTCTACTGTTTCTTCTTCTTCTTCTTATTATTATTATTATTATGATTATTATTATTATTATTATCATTATTATTATGATTATTATTATTATTGTTATTATTATTATTGTGTTTTACTTCTCAGTTCTGACCTCTGCCTCGCCCTCGACTACCTGTTTAATGTCTCTAAAATCTGTTACTCTCCTCACTCTGGTTTTAGTTTTTGGCCTGTTTTACTACTTTTATTACTGTTTGGTTTGTTCTTGTTGTATTAAAGCCTTTTGTTTTCAATTTTTGCTTTTACCACAAACATCTGGTCTATTCTGTCACATTACATATTGTGCCTCAAATATAAGGACACTTACACTATATTGCCAAAAGTATTTGCTTGTCTGCCTTCACACACATATGAGCTTGAGTGACATCCCATTCTTAATCCACAGGGTTTAATGTGATGTCGGCCCACCCTTTGCAGCTATAACAGCTTCAACTCTTCCGGGAAGGCTTTCCACAAGGTTTAGGAGTGTGTTTATGGGAGTTTTTGACCGTTCTTCCAGAAGCGCATTTCTGAGGTCAGACACTGATGTCAGACGAGAAGTCCTGGCTCGCAGTCTCCCCTCTAATTTGTCGCAAAGGTGTTCTATCAGGTTGAGGTCAGGACTCTGTGCAGGCCGGTCAACTGTTCCTACAAATTTGGGAGCATGAAATTGTCCAAAATCTCTGCTGAAGTATAAAGAGTTCCTTTCGCTGGAACTAAGGCTCCGAGCCCAACTCCTGAAAAGCAACCCCACACCATGACCCCCCCTCCACCAAACTTTACACTGGGCACAATGCAGTCAGACAAGTACTGTTCTCATGGCAACCGCCAAACCCAGACTCGTCCATCCGATTGCCAGACGGAGAAGCGTGATTTGTCACTCCAAAGAACACGTCTCCACTGCTCTAGAGTCCAGTGGCGGCGCTTTACACCACTGCATTCGACACTTTGCATTGCGCTTGGTGATGTAAGGCTTGGATGCAGCTGCTCGGTCATGGAAACCCATTCCATGAAGCTCTCTACGCTGTTCTTGAGCTAATCTGAAGACCACATGAAGTTTGGAGGTCCGTAGCGATTGACTCTGCAGAAAGTTGGCGACCTCTGCACACTATTTGCCTCAGCATCCGCTGACCCCGCTCTGTCATTTTACATGGCCAAACACTTCGTGGCTGAGTTGCTGTCGTTCCCAATCGCTTCCACTTTGTTATAATACCACTGACAGTTGACTGTGAAATATTTAGTAGCGAGGAAATTTCACAACTGGACTTGTTGCACAGGTGGCATCCGATCACGGTACCACGCTGTAATTCACTGAGCTCCTGAGAGCGACCCATTCTTTCACTAATGTTTGTAGAAGCAGTCTGCAGGCCTAGGCGCTTGGTTTTATACACCTGTGGCCATGGAAGTGATTGGAACACCTGAATTCAATGATTTGGATGGGTGAATACTCTTGGCAATATAGTGTATGATGCATTTTCCCCTCCTAATTTCAAACCACTATGCTAATACAGCTAGCTAAACAATGGCTGACAGGGGTGGGGTGGTTTGTAACACGTCTTTAAAAAATGTTACAACCATCCTAGAATGCTTAGTCAGAAAGTCTGACAGGGGAAAGACTGACAGAGGTGTGCATGCCGATGTTTTACAAAAGCAAATGATGAGGTCACAGAGAAGGACAGGTCAATCAGATCAGCTGTAAAGGCACATGGCATCTGCCATGTGACACTGAGCAGATACTGCAAATCACTGCAGAAGCCAAAAGACCTGGGGTCCAGTGATCTTCCCAGTGTAGGTTACCAGAACAGCAACAAACTTTTCTCTGAGATGCAGGAGGAAGTGTTGGCTGAAAGTTTGACTCTTGGCAGCAGACCTGTATTATGTAGTATTATAGATAAGCATATGACATGTTAGCCACTGGAGAGTGGAGTAAAATTGAATACTAGCACAGGTGTCAGACAAATTAAAAAACTTTTTGTATCTATGCACTCAGGTTTTCTGCTCCACTTTCTTTTAGATCAGAAAAAGCAAAATCATTTGCATATCAAGTGGCAGTAAT